CTTATTGCCCAAAAAAAGGAAAAGCCGGGTAAATAGTTTTCCCAAGTTTTAAGGGAAAAAACAAATAAAACAATAACTCCGTAGCTTATACATTTGTACGCAAATTTAAAATTTTTGTTTATCAAACAGAATTTTCTTTCTGGGGCCACTTTGAGGGTATAAACGTGTAAAAGAGCTATAAAATTTTTAACTATTTTTTTATGGTTTCCAAAAATAAACGATTTTTCTTTTTTTCTTCATTAAAAAAACGCACGCCTCTCTAGTTTACTTTTTAAAAAAAAACGAAGGGGGGATTGGGGGGCGTTGCATTAATATAACTGAAAGTTTTTGTTCAATGACCGTTTAAACGGGCAAAACCCTAAAATATCTTTTTTATTTTATTTTAAAATCTTAAAAATTTTTCTTCTTTGGGATTTAAAGGGGCCCTCGGGTGGGAAAAAAAACGGCCCGTTTAATCAAATTTTTGAAATCATTTATTTATTTGTTGCCCTATATATTTTCACATTAATTTTGCATTTTTAATCTTAGCTTTTTACCAAAATAATTTTTAAAAAAAAATTTAAGAAATTTAGGAAATTTAAATAATATTATAACAAAAAAAACAACACGAAAATTTTAAAACATAACTTTTTTAGGGTAGAAAATTCGTTTTTTTTAAGGGTAAAAAAAATTGTTTTAATTTTTTAAACCCCCGTTTTTATTTAAACCCATTTCCCTTTAAAATGTTTACGATATTGTTTTGGCCCTTTGGGAAAAGGGGTCTATTTTTTTTTTTTACTCGGTTAAAAAGACACTTTTTAATTGGGAAAAAACAATTTTTTGTCCCCCAAAAACATTAAAATTCAGGGGGTATTCTAAATTTGTTTTGAAAACCCCATGATTTTATTTTGGGTTTTTTTCTGGGGAAAAAAGATTGATATTTGGAAGTAATTTTTTAAGTAAAACGTAAAAAGTTGCAATTATTTTTGGTTAAAAAATTTAAATATTTTACTCAAACATTCCCATTTTTCACCAAGAAAAAAAATATCCTATTTTTTGCTAAAATTGGTTTAAAAAGTACGTTTTTTTGGGCATCGTTTTTTTTTGGGACTTTTTCAGTATTTTTTGACAACCGTTTAAAGATAAAAATGATTTAAAAATTTAACCAGAAATGAAGGAGGTTTGAAAAAAAGGCCGCATGCTATTTTTTTTTGTCAATGTAATAAAAAATTTAAAAAAAAAAGAAAAATAAATACAAAAATTATGTTGTAGAATCTTTTACATTAAAAAAATTTCTTTCTTTCATATTGAAAAAAAAGGGTTGGTTTTTTTAAAATCAAAATTTTGGTGATTGTTCTCTGAAAAATGACTTCCCATGGACTACTGTTTTTTTTTTTACAAAAAATTTACCGTTTATTTTACCTCCTCTTTTATCCCCGGTTTTATAAATGCCCCGAGAAGAAAAAAGAAATTAAATTTGAAAATTTTAAAATTAAAACAACTTACTAAAGTCACTGCTTTTTAAACCCATACCCTTATTTGCCCATAAAATCCCCCCCCCAAAAACCAAAATTTTTTTCCCAAATTTACATGATAAATTTAAAACCCGAAAAGGATCTAAAAATTTAAAACCTTAATATGTAAATTTTTACATACCCCCTAAAATTTTAAATCTTTGTTTTTCTTTATAAGGAAAAATGAAATATCTTATACCCCCAAAAATCCAAAAAGGAAATGTCAAGACAAGTCTAAACGGAGAGATTTTTTAAAAAAAAAGGCTTTAAATCTTCCAAACTCAATCCGTAAATTTTTATTTTTTTACTTTTTTTAAATGTAAATGTTTTAAATTTTATAAATAAAATATTTTTTTTAAACTAAACAAGTCCTCATGTAGGCTTTAATTTTGTTGTTTTTTTGAAATTTTAGTATGTAAATTTTAGAAAAATTTTGGGTTAGCTATAAAAACATAATCTTTTCCCACCCAAAAAAACACGTGCTTATTTCCAAAAAAATTTTCCTTAAAGATATCCCTTGAAAATTTTTGGGAATGTTTACATGATAAACAAAAGATGGATAAAAAAATATCGAATTATCAAATTTTCTTTCAATTTTTTCGCATCCATTTTAAATGAAATTTCAAACATTTAAATTTAAAAATTTTATTTTTTAATTAACTAAAACTAAACCAAATTCTTTCTAATATGACTTAGACACAATTTCATTTTATGGTTTTTTTGGGTTGGTTATATTTTTTGGTTGATTTTTGTTTCAAAGATTTTTTTCCTTGATCATTTTGACCTTTATCTGAAAAATATTTTTTAAAAACTGTTGCATTTGTCTTTCCCAAGTTTATATTTCGGGGTGCTTTTTTTTGCCCGGGGACTAAAATTTGATTTAAATAATCAAATTTTTTGCTTATTTTTTTAAATTTTCGAAAATAGTTTGGCACCGCCCCTTGTACTTTTTTCTGCTAAATCCCGTGTAAAAACCAAAATATTCCCTTTTTTCATTTCATTTTTTTTTATAATTAGGGCTTTTTACTGAAAAAATGAAAACCCGGTATTTTTAGTTTAAAAACCCCTTTAAAACCCCCCTCTCTCTATTTATAATCTTAATTAAATCATTGAAAAGCTATTTTTTTAGGGTTTTTCCCTAAGTCCCCTTTTTCGATGATGCTGGCAAAATTTTATATTTTAGATTTTTGGAAAATTTTGGCATGATTTTTTATATTTTTTTGTGTGATTTTTAAAATTATTTTTTAAAAATTTTGCATGGTTTGGGTTTCAGGACTCGTTTTGTGATATAAAAAGTTAAGTAAAGGGGTATCAAAAATTATATAGACCCACAAAATTTTTAAATACCTTTAAATGTTAATGTCCACTAATTCCTTACTCCTAATTTAATTTATTTTGTCTGATTGATAAATACCAATTATATATTGTTGAGATATTATTATTTATAACTTCTATTACGCTATGTCAATTTTTTAAAAAAAAAAATTTTGTTTTGTTTTTAATTTTTTCTATTAATTAAATGTTTTGGGGTTAAATTTAAATGTTTGAAATTTAAGACCCCTTTTTACCCACATCATTTAAACTTTTTTTAAACCAAAATGCAAAGGGGATTATAAGAATTATGTGATAACATACTCATGGAAATATAATCATGTTGTAATAAAAAAATTTAAAATTAAGAAACAAAAAAAACAGAAATTTAATTTGTAAAATTAAAATTTTTTCACAATTTTTTTGTTACTTTAACTAATAAAATTTAAAAATAATTTTTTTATTTTTTGTTTTTTTTTCCCCCTTTTATGTCTAAAAACACAAACGTAACTTTTTCAACCCTTTCCAAAACGGGGCAAAAGACAAAAAAACTTTTTTTTAAAAATTGGGTTTTTGTTTTTAAACCCAAAAAGGGATCTATTCTTTCCCCTTTTTTCATGATAAGTCGTTTTTGTTATTTTTCATGAAAAAAGTAAAATTTGATTACCCTCGATATTTCAAGAAAATTTTAGTAAAGTAATACCGGCAAGAATTGAAAACCCAATTTTATCCCCGTGAACTTTAAAAATTTTTAAAGAGTTAATCTATAAAAAAAGATTTTTAGTGCTTTAGGGGGCAAAGGAAATTGATACTCCCCCTTTTGTTGATGAATTTATTTTAAAAGTTAAATTTCCTTTTCAGGAAAAAAAAGGGTAAAACCGTACTTAAAACCCCAAGTGCTGATGAAGAACTTTAACCCCAAATTTTTTACGGTTTTTTGGGTTAATTTTAGTATTCTTTAGCGACTTTAAAACAATTCCTTTTTTTTTCAAAAAAGCTAAAACGGGTTAAATTTGTAAATTGTTTTTATGAAAATTTTTCCCTTTTTTATATTATTAAGTTTCCAATTGTTTACGGATACTTGAATTAAAAATTTTTTAAATGCCCCCCAAAAAATAGTTTTTTTATGATTCCTAAAGAACCCTAGTTTGGGGAAAAAAAAATGTTAAAAGGGGTTTTTACATTTTTTTCATAATTTTTAATAAAGTTATTTCATTTGTTTACTAATGAAGGAAAATTTTTCCCAACCCCCTCTTTCATATACAAACAGCCTTTTTTGTAGTAGTCGTAAAATTTAAAGAAATTTTTTGAATAAAATAAAAGTTCCAATTTCCGTCCCTTTAAAAAAAAACGGTTTAGTATGTAGACAAGCTTAAAAAATTGTTTTTATTTTAAAAAATCTAAAACCCCCTGAGTATGATAAACTGGTTTTTTAAGGAAAATTTTTTATTTTTGTAAAGATCTTTTTACACCCGACTTTTGGCCATTTTTCTTAGAAATGTCATAAAATTTTAAAACCAAATAGATTTGTTTAAAAATATATTTAAAATTTAAGGCAAAACTTTATACCCTTTGTATTTCAGACCACCCAAAACCTTTAACCAATTTTAAAAGGAAAAATGCATGATATAATCAAAAATTGGGCCCTTTTTCTATTTAAAGGAAGGTAATTTAAGGTTTAATTTGGGGGAAAAATTTTGAACTGACAAAAATTTTTATTTAAATTAAAAAGGGGTAAAATTTTACATTGCACCCCCTTAATTTTTCTAACTATTTTTCTTTTTAAAATTTTTTCCCAATTTTAAACGAAAATTTAAACGGGGAAAAAAATTTTTTTTTGTTTTTTTGTTTTTTCACTTATATATTTGACAGCTTGCTATCGTTTCCCATTCTCCCGGGGCCTCAGTTATTTGCGCCCTTTTTTTTATATCTATTTCAAAATAAATTTTAAAAATTTATATATCTTAATTTTTTACTTAATATTCATATTAAAAGTCTGATAATAAAAATTTTTTTAAAATTGTCAAATTTCACAATTTTTACAAAATATGGAATTTTAATTTTTGTCATTTTTGTTTTAATTTTCAAAAAGAAGCATTTTTGACGTTGTATTTTAAAATATATCATAAAAAACCCCAAAACCTTTTGGGGAAAAAATCCAAAATTTAAAAATTCGACCGATTTTTATACAAAAACATGGGTAACATAGATGATGCTGCAGGTTCGGTTTTAAATTGGGCCTGTTAATGGTGAAAGCCCGGCCAAATGCAAGCTTTCCGGGGCCCCGGGGGTTCTAGCTTTGGTTCTGAAAAAATCCAACATTCAAAAATCGAAAATTTGTTAAAAAACTAAAATTTTAAAAACCCACCCGAAAGGACGTCCCTTGGGTATTGTCTGTGGGGATAATTTTTCAATATTAAAATTTTTCAAAAATCGCCTTTTTTTATTTCAGAAACCTTATGCTCCCAAAAATTTAAACAATTGTCAATGTTATAATGATAAAATTAGAGAAAAAGCTCATTTCAAAAAAATAAAAAAAATGGTTTTACCTCAAAAAAATTTTTAAATTTAAAATAAGTTGATTTTTTCCTGTAAATGTACCTGTTGTTTCTGACAAGTCTTATAAAGTACGAAAATTGCCCTTCTGTTAGTCTTTATAATATATTATCTCAAACTACAATAACGAGTATCTTCTGGGCAGTAAATGTCATATTTTGAAAATAAATCACATCAAAATATTTGTTTTTATCAACTTAACAGAGGCGTTTTACCTTTCTATATTATTCTGAATTTCCTTTACACTGTACTGTAATTCATTTCTCGCGTGCCAAGAATATATTCAGAAATGCTTGACAACAACTACATCATTATGATAGCTGGGAAAGTCTCATTATCTCTCTGAAATCTCAATATATAATCCAACGACCCGTTTAAATTGATTAAAATTTACTTAAATTTTCTAAAAAAAAGCCCCAAAAATTTTAGCAAAAAAAAGGGAAAAGAGTTGTTTGTCAATTTTCCCAAAAAATAAAAAAAAGAACCAAATCGGTTTTAACTTTAAATGCATCTCAAATTTACCCAAAAAACTTGCACGGGAATAGGATATCTGCCAAAATTTAAATATCTTTAATTGTGAGTCTTTAAAAGCCGGTTCTGTCATGTGATTCACTGGTTTGTTTGTTTGGTTTATTCAACACAATTGAAGTCATATGGCACCGAAACAGGAAGAATGATTTTGGCTAAACCTTGGTTGTTACAAAATTTAATTTGGGAAACGTTTTCACTCTAAAACCCTAGAGGTCAAAACCAAACTTTTCCTCTGGAGGTTTTAAAAAGCATTGCCCTTAGTAAAATTTTGCCCCCAATTCAGGCCCCCCCCCCCTCCCAAAAGATCATGCCAAAAGTGGCTTTCAATTATGATGACTCAATTTTTATTAAAGGGAAAAAGGGGGGTATAATTTTTAAACCCTTTTAGGAAAAAAAACATTTTAATTTATTTGTTACATTTTGTTTAAAAGAGTATGCGATTTTTTTATCTCTATTTAGAAGTTGATAAGTGGCCGTTTAAAATTTAATCTATATTTAAAATCATTGTAATTTGTAATGTAAATGTAAATACGACAGAGTTAATCTTTTCTCTCCAGGAACGATGGTTAGGAAACTACCCGCCTATATGACTGAAATACTGTTGGGAAAAGGCGTAAAATGAAAAAGACATACAAACAGAGTTAATCTTTACATAACTGTAATTAAAATATGAATTTTGTATCAGTATTTTTTTTACATTTATGTTTTTGTTATCATAAAAACTCTTCATATTTACTTAAAATGTTTTCTACTTCTTCTTTGTAAAGCAAATTTCAGTACAAAAGGGAGGGGAGCCGTTTACGTTTTAAAAAGGGTACGAATCTTTTTTCATAATTTTAAATCGTTTTACCCCAAATTTAAAAAAAACCCGGGGGGAAAAATCTTTAAATGGGCAAAACATAACCAAAGAAAAATCCAAGGGAAAAAATTAAATTTGGGGAACCCCGGGAAACGCAAAATTTTTATTGTGAGAATTTCTTTTTTCCCAAATTTTTTTACTTTTTATCTTTTTTTAAATTAATTTTGGGACCATTTCAATCATTTATTTTTAAATTTTGGGTTTTGTTTTTAAATTTAAAATCCTTTTTTTTGAAATAACTGTTTGCCCAAAGAAAAAAAACATAACAGATATTTAAAAAAAGGCATTCTATTTGGGGTTACTTTTTTTTAAATTTTTCTTTTAAGAAATTTTTTTCATGGGGGGCCAAAATTTTTCTTTCCCTTTCCTGTTTCCCGGTACAGCAAATAAGTTATTTTTATTTTCTTCCATCTTAGGTAACGGACACGACACGTCTGAACAAGTTTGTCAAAATGGTTGTCGTTGGAATATCACAATTAAGGAAAATAGATGTAAGACAAATGATACAGATAATTTTTGTAATGGCAACGGAAAATGTACTTCATTAGACAACGAGGTAAGTAGTTCAAGAAAAAAAGACTTTAGGACCTTAATGTAACAGACACAATTCAGGAAAAATTAATTTCATTCTTTGTTCAGCGAAACTCGCCATTTAGCAATTATTGCCAATATTATTATTAAAATTTAATAAAGAAAAATGTTACTTTTAACACATTTTTAACAAGATAGCATATATTTCAACATTATAGTTTTCACTTCATCGTCATTTATTTTGGCCTGTGAAAAGCACTAATCATTTCAGGTGGTAAAATTCTATTAAATTTTCAATTGACATTCTTGAAACAAGTCGGCACAATAAGATTGTTCATGCAACCAATAACATGTCATTTTTTCAGGACCAATTTTCTTGTAAATGTTTTGACGGGTTTGGCGGAAGCGTTTGTGAGACCAATAATGCTGAAGGCGATAATTTATCAGTTTGCAGTGACAGTAATTGTAGAAACGGCGGAACCTGTGTCACTGAAGACTCAGTTATTTCGTCTACAAACAGTAAGTCATCATCATCAAATTGCCTTTTAATTAATTTCTTGACATTCTATGTTATGTTATGCAAGACAATTTATTCATTGGTCTGACCAAAAACTGCCGTTGGGTTGAAAGTAAAATTAAATGGATAAATAGCAAGAGCGAAATATTGTAAATATTTAATTGTTGAAATGTATTGTACCAATATATTATCATTCTTTTGACAAGATAACGCAAGCGTCTATTTAATTAAAACTTGGTAAAATTAATCATATGTGCTTTTCAGACAGTGCACTATTTCGAAAACCACGTGTTCATGTTTGTTTTTATAATTTGCAGTATCGTCATCTTCATGTCTATGTCAATCACATTTTACCGGACAATATTGTGAGACTATCTTAAATAACTGTAAATCAAGTCCTTGTGTGAATGGAGTTTGCGTGGAACACATAGACGGGTACCAGTGTTACTGTGTCCCAGGTAAGTTAAATTATAATTATGATGACTTGAATTGTACAAATTGAGTCTGCAATTTCCATGTAATTGTGTTGTGAATAATGCTTCCGAATGCACCCTTTCTCCAGATATTTATAAATTTGATGGGTGTATGAACTATGAACTTATACCTAAACTTCCTAATTTTGACAAAAATATTGCAGGATTATTGATTAACCCAACTATTATTTTTGAAATGATTAATTCAATAACATGTTATACACAATCAAAGCTAGCATATCTTTGAAGGGACCTTTTTGGTGGTTTTTCATAGATTAAATTTTGCAAAATGAAACTATTACTATAAAATAATATGAAATCAGAAATCAAAAGGAAGTGCAGCATTTAATAAATGCATCAAATTGATATTAATTAAATGGAAACAAGAATGGAATTGGAAATTAAATTATCAAAGGGCTTAAATGAATTTGAAACAATAAAAAGTATTTCTTTGTTTACTACTGTTAGGTTTTCACGGCAAGAATTGTGAACTAGAGTACAACGAATGTCTCAGCAACCCATGTTCTAATCGAGGTACATGCATCGACAGAGTTGATAAGTTTGAATGTCGATGTTCCGTTGGTTATCATGGTGTCACGTGCCAAGATAAGGTGAGCACTATTTCTCTAACTTTGAAGATAGGTCGTGTATCACAAAGTTAAAGTGTAATCAGTTTCGTATGTTATGTCAGCTTTTTTATTTGTATTTCGACAGCTTGAATATACTTAACATGGTACTTTGCCTATCAGTACGCTTTTCAATTTAGTACCTATCATTATGTTATCGTAAGTGCCAACACTTTCCCTGTATTCGTTTCTTTGAATGGAATAAACATTAGTTGTATGAACGCAATTCATGTTTTCAAACTTTGTATTTATACTTTATTCAATAATTAAATGTTGCGCTCATTACAGTCCACGGTCTGATTCTGCAATTTTTCATTTTAATTGATTTACTAGGATATAATTCAACGTCTTCAAATTACTATTGCAATTTAATTGTTGAGATTGCGTTACTGTTATACACTGTTGAAAAAGTTAAATATGCAATATTATCATGGAGTGTGTTATTTTTTTTCTATGTTTTTGTTTTATATATTTAACAGGTTGATTTTTGTCAACCAAGCCCATGTCACAAGAACTCCACATGTACTTCCATTCATGAAACATTTGCCTGTATTTGTCACCATGGCTTCACAGGTACGTGTTTGATTTTAAAGTTAAATCATCTAACAAAAAAAAAAAACTAATTGCACACGTATCCATATGATGAAAGAACAGTATTGTTATTTATTCCATCTGAAAAAAGCTTGATGCTTCTTGATACTTTCTTAAGAGCGAATGATACATTCAGGAAGTTATTGCTACACGGTTGAAATCCTACTCATCAGCATTATATTTTATCCAAAATATATTTTCTGTTTACTAATAGGTACTACTGCATGTGTATATAATTGAAATATTTCTTGAAACGACCATAAGATGATGAAAACAATATATATATTATCTTAATTTCTTCTGTTCGCATTAAAATATACAAAGCACAAATTTACAAACACATCTCACATTGTTTGAATTGTCAGAATAAACAATGGTTACAACAGAAAACATTTAAGAAGGAATATTTGATTAAGTTGAACAGATTTAGTTTTCTGCTATGATTATATTTTGCATATATGATTGTTCACAATAATATTGTATTGTTGCAGGAAAGTTTTGCGATGAAAGAATAAAGTCATGCTCATCAAATCCGTGTAAAAATCATGGAACTTGTATAGAATACGAGACAGGTTATCAGTGTATGTGTCAGGTTACGTTTGCAGGACAACATTGTGAATATATGAGTAAGTTATATTTTATATTTTATATATACTTACGGATCAACCTTTTTATGTCAAATAGATCAAATATCCTTTCAATAAATTATGTTGAACTTTGACCGAAAATAATTAAAACTAATCCAGTGATGGCTTATTTGTTATTTATTACAGTAAGGATATATCTTGTTTGATCTTGTGTTATCAATTTTATTATGTTATAAAGATTATTTAAAGTTAATTCATTCAAACAAAGCACTCTTTGAAATTGTAATGAAAATTGTATTGACTTTACTTTAGAAAAAAGTTAATGCTGAATTGATGTTCAATAATACTGAACAATGAGTCATCCTCATCGAAAGCAAAACAAAGATTTACTTCAGCTAAATGAAAGTTATCTTTTAGCAACTTGCAATATTCCGTTATCAAAATAAATTGTTTTATCAATAGCATATTATTATCATAAACAACTGCAGGAATATAACCAGAAACAGACTTTCGTTAACAAAAAACCCGAATATTTCTGTTTTTTATGTATGGAAAACAAGGTCAAAATGGCTTTTGTGCAAACGTGTATACATTAGTGAATGCGTTTTTACTGGTCTAGGATGACAGATAAGAGTCTTATTAACATTAATATACAAAAATAATATATTTTCACATAACTTTCCTTTCAGTGGACGTTTTTGCTCCACCAATGGAAGGTGCCGATTTATCTGGAGAATCACATAAACATAACATGTATATAGTAGCAGGAACTTTGGGGAGCATGGTCCTTATTGTTGTTTCTGTTATTGTTGCCTGTTATTGTAAAGTATATGAGACATACAAACAACTGATGTGGAAACGCTTACGATATCATCGAAAACGATCAAATTCTTGGTAAGTCAATTGCAGCGATCTTTCAAACTACATGTACATTTATGTCAGCAAATAATTCGCCTGTATTTAAACACGATTTAAATTTGTTTGTTTGCGTTCAGTATCGAATAAAATATTTCTGTTGAAGGTCGAATGTTATTAAAATTTCTCACTGGGTTGAAAGGGCTTTTTCTTAACTATTAATTTTATAAGCTGCAGAGTCGCTACAGGTGTCGGTGTGATCGGCGGTGTGATCATCCAATTAAAGAACATTTTTTAAAACTTTTTTTTCTTTTAGAGACAGTTTCTATAAAGAAAAGAGATAAATGTATTGATTCCTCTTTATTTACGACATTATCTTTTGGATTATCGTACAACCATAAGAATTTATTTCTTATTATAAAAAGGAAAGTTGTTTACAGCATCAAACGAGGATTGATCCTAATGTTTGAAGATTCGCCTAATATTTCAAGTGTACATGGGACAGAACAATAACATACATCTGCATGAAATATGGATGTTAATCCACCTACTATGTAAATTGTATAACGAACCTGTTATTTTTTCTATATTTAAAGCGTTCTTTTTTATTTTAGTCCGGACCTTGAAACCTGCAATGAGCCAAACTATATTGGAAAACACCGTCTTAGTGCTGATGCAATTTGGGAGGCTACAAGTCTATGTCACGAAAATGCAGCATTTGAAAACTCAGCAAACCATCAAACTTTTACATCAATGCAAATATAAGTTTTAAAGTACTAAAATAGCTTTAATAAAATACATTGAACACTATTAGTTTGAGCTAGTTGTGGAAGCGACGTTTCAAGGAAAGCAAAAGAAGTACACATCCAAGTGGCAGAGCTTACGAGATCAGAGGTGGTCTCGTGTATAACATTACAGATCAAGTCATTCCAAGATATGAAAAAATAACTCCTGCAGCATTATTTTGAATATTTTGATATTGATTCAATGTGTAACAATGTGAATGGATAACAAAAACGACTTTTTGTAAAGACACTGATGTAAACAACGTATAATTATGGTTTGATTATTTAGAAACAAATTTGTTGGTACGTATGATCTAAATAAGCGAATGATTTGAAGTCAAACGTTAAATGTAAATAGTTACAGTGTTATTGTACGGCAAAATCTGTGTTGAAAGCAAAATGATGTGTTTGACTTGAAATGTTGCATTGTTATTTTCGTCTAGTGGTTTTCATATTAAACGTTTCATCTGACTGTTCTGATATTGAATTAATGACGTCATTAAAGGTTGTGATTTGATATTACGCTCAGTGTATGACTGCATTATATTTCAAATGGAGAAGAAAATTAAGTGAGCCATTTTTCTAATATTTTACGTAGCTAAGGATATTCGCACGAGAGATCTATGCTTAAAAATAGTATTTCATATTCAATGACAAATACCGCTCATGTTTGTTAAGGGTTGACAGCAAAACTGTTTTATGTCCTCTTTATTTCATATAAGATACTACAGTTTTGCGTTCAACTCTCGATATATTCATTCGCAAAAAAGTAAGCAATAATGATTTTTCATTTTGTACTTTTGAGCATGCTAATCAAAATACAGGTTCTTCAATTTCTACCATGTAATACATATTCATCTTGCATTTCCTATCTCATTTACACAAATAATGTTAAACAATTATAAAGACAACTCCATTAGAATCTGTTATGTTTATCATAGTATACATGTTTTATTATAAAGCCTTTTTCTGTGCATATATATATCATATATATTAACAGATAACTAGTAAGAAATAAAAAAGATAAGAAAAAGGAAAATATTTTGTATCCTCGACATCAAAAATACATTTATTAATTATATTTTCTTGGAAAACGTATATTAATAATATTTTCTTGGAAATAAAAATACGAATGAAAATTGGAATTGCATGTATATTTCTTGTTTGTTATTTCAAATAAAGCTTAGAACTAAGAACAATTCTTTAAGTGTTATTGAAGTGTTTTTGTTGTGTGTTTTTCTTTTGTGTGATGATTTTTTTCCCTTATTTTGTTTGGTTTATTTTTTCAGCTTTTGTTTTGCTTTTTGTTATTTTTGTAAATAATCTTAGCTTTCAGAGCAAGTGTCATGAAAATGAGTGATATCCGTTAAAAAGAGAATTGAAAAAGTATTTTCAAGTTTTATTTTCTATATTACTTTAAATAATTATATCATATAAAACTTATTTTCAAACCGCCTTTGTATATGCTAAAATATCTGGAACAATATTATATTTATATTATAACGTTTTGCTATTTTAAGAACAACTGAAAAAATATTCCGGATACAAATTGAAACTCGTGATATTGAATTAAATCCTGACGGCTAATGTTAATCTCATTGTTGACATTGGTATAATGTCAAACTTTGTAACGAATGACAACAAACGTGCTATCATTCTGTTTATATAATTAGATTATAGTACTTAATGTCGAAAATGATTTTCGTCTCAAAATGTAGTATTTGAAGAAGTATGTAATGGTTTGTTTGTTTCTTTCATTTTACGCCTTTTTCCAACAGTATTACAGTCATATAGGCGGGTAGTTTCCTAACCATCGTTCCTGGAGAGTTACACCAGTACTAGACTACCTTCCTCCGTGCTAAACTACCAAATCATCTCCCGGGGATCGAACCCACGCCAGAGAGGTAACTGGATTAGAAGTCATCGGCTCTGACCCCTCGACCACGGAGGCGGTCTATATGTAATGGTAATATAACATTAAGTTCGAATGGTTATATAACATTTACAAGGATTGTAGATTTTTGACAAAACACTGTTGTTCTTTCTTTTCGCCCAGAAGCTAATATTTGAATAATTATGTTTTATTATTCAATGTTAACTTTATACTAGTTTGTCTTTAAGTTTGCAATAACTGTAGTCTAATGCTCAACCAATCCAGATTCATTTACGTTATTCTAAGAATAATGATAAGTAGAATGAATTCAAAAAGTTCAAACGCGAGTTTGTTTCAGGTTTCATTGTGATCCACATTTCATTAAAATGTGAATTATTAAGTTCATCAAAATGTACATTTTGTATTTTTAAATTTTATATTCATCGCACTTTTGAATTTAGATAAGATCTGTAAATGTACCGTGGTAAACAAACACACACAAATTGTCATGATTGATATTTGCTGGAATTTTCAAGAAATGTTATCTTTCAAGTAACGTTTCTCAAATATAAATTAAATGTAGATACCACGTTTTTTTTCAATCAATGATAATTGAGTATTTCTTTAATTTAAGCATAACATTAGAATAAGCACACACAATCAATCTTTACCTATAAAAGGTACATTGTGTTTCAAATGCGTCCCAAAGTACTATATATTTAGATTGCGTAGATAATTTTTTATTGAAACACCAAAACTATTAAGGAATGTCTGCTAATAGAGTAAAATAGAGAAAAAAAGAATCCCTTAGGCAAAAGAATGTTTAACACGGCACAATTAAAAATGTTACAGGCTCGGTTTAATTGAGCCTGTTCATGGACAATACTGGAAAGTGCAAGTTACCGTCTACGCCCCACCCCCTAGCACCGACTTAAGCAGAATTCAACATGAATGATGAAAATTTGAATTTAGAATCATCCGCAGATGTGTTCATGCGGCAGCAACCTTTATTTTAATTAAGAGTTGTGTGCGCATTTCATTCGTCGTTCCGTGTTATTTCAAACACTTTTCAGTAGTAAGTGTGCGGCGGTATTATAATGAGAAAAAGTTCAAGAAAAAGTATTCATCTGAAATTGCAAAAATTCCATTCGGACTAAAATTAAAATTACATTACACAAACTTCCAATTTTATGGTATTCTTTGGTGTAATTTGATTGTTTTAAGGACAAAATGTCACTTAGAAATGTAATTATCTCCACAAATTCTCCAAACTAGACACATGAATTGTAACATTGGGAATAATGTTCAAAATTAGAAGACATTTTCAATGATATTAAATGATGATTGATTATAATTATAGATTTAACATCTTTTCTCAATAGCAATCTTAAAATCAGATAAACGCTAGTTAGTAAAATAGGGAGAATTGAAGAATCCCTTAAGAAAGCCCAACAAGACAAAATTGAAAATGCTGCAGGCTCGGTTTGATTGAGCCTGTTCATGTACGGTAATGGAAAGTGCAAAACCTTGTAGGAGTTTTTATTTATTGATTCAGAAATGCTTTATTTTTTGACTTTTAGTTTTTGAAATGGCTTAGTTATTAACGTGGCAGTTCTTGATATATACAATTACATAGGTTTGTATACGGTTTCATTTTCCGCTGAATCTTGCATCGTCCTAACTGCATAACAAAGTATAATCAATAAAAATTATGCAAGCTCCTTAAAGACTTATTAAGGCCTAAGCTTTATCTACATAGCTATTTTTTCTTAATTTATTTATGTATTTATTTATTTTGGTTGTTTTGTTTATTTATTGTGTAAAGTGACATTACGCCTATCATAAGTGTAACTTGTGAGCGAACAGATAAAAGTCTAAATAACTATTAATTACATTTTGAAATGATAGTTTATTTTTAATATAATTATTTGTAAATAGTATTCGTTCTTTATCTGAAATGTTCAATTGATAAAATGAGTGCAGGACTTATATTTTATCCTTATTATTTGTTATTTTCAATTATTGGTCAGTCATCATTAAAATAGTCAGTCTTCTGAAATAAACAGCAGATTCAGCTCAACTGGACAAGGGAAACATTAATATATTGTCACTTTATAAATAGGTTTACATCTCAGGTAGATCATCCGCAAAATTGGAATCTCGTAAACAGCTTAATAAAGATAGCTGAAAAGCAAATTTCACTTTCATTATCAGAGATGGTATGGCATATTCCTTGCGAAGTTTGACAATTTAGATGATAAAATTTCAGGGTCATTGCAAAGTTTGTCAATCACGTCCTATATTGGACAGCCATAATGGCTGAATTTTTAAACAGTTCTTTAAGACATTCGTTGTAAAGTACTTGGTCTCTTATCACAACTTTTCAACATGAAAATAGTAAGGTGAGAAAATAAATATCACAGTGATTAAATGTTGCTCTCTAACATTTATTTTTTGAATAAGAAATTTCGTTTTGATACAATTGTCGATTGTCATTGAGTATGAATATGGGAATTCAACATTATTGAGCATTCCATGGACTGTACCGTTTTACTTGTGAATGATACAGAATAATAATAATTATATATATAATTGTCTTACAAAATTAACAATGTTGAAAATTAGCTGGCGTCATAATAAATAACAGCAAGGAATTTACATAACAAAAACGATACAGTGAAAACAAAATGTGAAAAAGGGAAAGTCTTCATGTAAGAGATTTATAAAAAAATCAACTTTTTTATTTTAATTTAACCTTAAGTTAAAAATAATTATTTTCCTCTTCTTTTTTTTTGTAAAGAAGGAAATAATGAAAGGTTTTCGTTTTTATTATATTGTTACATGTATTTTGGCTTCTTGCGAATTGAAAATGTCCATAAACGTATGTCATTTCATAACGTACTCCACTCCTTTACGCTTATAAAGAATAAGTTCGTGTTAGTGTTAAATTTGTATGCTATGAAATATGAGAGCAAAACTAATGCCCATAGAACGCAGCCTCCGAAAATAAACCCTTCAAACCAATTTTAAACTTTCAAAAACCTTTATTCAGAGATTGGGAAGGTATTCATTCTACCTATATATCATATAATTCTTCAGTAG